GTGAGACTATTGAGGAAAATAGTTTTTCTCAATTAAAGTGCCATCACGACTCTTACTTATTCTCAAAATTTCTATTCAGTGTTTGCTATCTTAGGATGTTGCCGATGATCATGATAATTCAGTCTAACGGGGCATTTATAGAAAAGCGAGTTGGACTGAAATGGAGAGGTTTAAGGAAAGAGGAAGATCAATTTAATTTATGATATCACATTCTATATTTGTATTTACAGGTCGACCAATTATGATTTTGAGTAAATCATAGTTGTGAATACAATCTACGAGATACTAAAAGAGATCAAGAGAGATAAAAAAAAAATGTGACTGATTGATCTAGGGAACTGCATACTAATTCTACTCTGGATAATGCCCAATTTGAGCTGTTATATATTCCTAACAGATGTATAACAACGAGCTCTCGTAGTATGCTGGTCGCACGGATTATTTGCCAATATGAACTTTGCAAGGAAGAGAATTGTGTTTAGCCCATTGTGGGCAAGTGGGAGATGAAAGACATAATGGGTGGACCGCCTAAGATGGGCCAAACCCGGCCCGTGAGCCACAAGGGCCCACAAGGTAGTTATTTGGCTATCACTATAAATAGTAGGCACCCCTTGGAAAAACGCACGTGTTTTTCCATATGCAAAAGAACACACTCCTTCGAACATAACGTTATTTCTGTTTTTCCTTCGGAAAGCAAACGAGTATGAAAGACGATCGAAGAACTCTCAAGCGCAAAGTGGCACTTAATCTGTGACAATACCGGGTACGTTCGTTGTGTGATATGCCTGTACGATCGGTAATACAAGTCGATGGTCATTGGGCACGTTTTCCGCATTGATCGAATTCGTTTCGAATATGTTTCGAATGTGTCGATCGGGGATTGAGTTTTCCCAACATTATCAAAGTTAACTTATGCTAAAGTGTCTCATGAGATAGTTAAATTGACAGTCAAACTGACAGTCAAACTTGCATTTTCATGACTATTGTTGATGTTCCTGTCTGCATGGAATGACGTTCTAACATTTTGTTAGGAGCTTATCTTTAGCCTGAAAAACAAAGTAACTTTAGCCTGAAAAATAAAGTAACTTTACTGTGGCATGTCCTGTTCAGTCTGAAAGAGAACAAATTTGTTGTCTCGATGTCTAGGCCAAATTTCGAGCAAGAACCAACCCGGATCAAGTCCTGGATTGGTGCAAATGTATGAAAATGGCACTATCCACTAGTAGGGCTCCCAACTAGCCAGGCCAGGCCGCGTGACCGGGCGCCTGGGTCAGAGAGAATAACCTCCCATATTGAATTTTAATTATTTTTAGAGTCTTTTGATGTCTTACATGACATTTCACTGTGCAAGAGTATTTAGATTTTTTTTTTCAGTGATTTCTCTTACGAATTCTCGCTTTCTCAAGAAAGGATTGTGAGAAAGCCACAGATCATATACCATCGACCTTATTAATTATCTCAGATATGAAGAAGCAAGTTTAACGTGTGCAAATGAGAATTATTATACCAGATAGCGTATAAGTAAGTATGGCATCATGCCATTTTTTTCTCAAAAAGGGAAAAAATAAATAGAGAAAGACCCTAGTTGAAAAGATAAACTAACCCCTCCGCCCCACCCCAAACCACATTTTTTATCCCCATTGGCTCTATCTTCCGCCACACCAGTGTCAACTTCTCTCTCTCTCTCTCTATGGCCACTACACTAGAGCTCGAAAGTCGCACTCGAGGCCGTGGCCATAAGCACAGAGGTAGCACTAATGCCCGTGGGCCTTCGAGCTCAAAAGCCGCGCGATCTGGCGAACTCATCGTGGCCACTAGATTCCACGTCGAAGTTCAACAACCGCAATTTGGGTGGTGATGGACGCAAGCTCGAGACACGGCAATTGGGGACGGTTGGGCTAAGTAATAGGCTTTGGGTTGCGTTTTTTTTTTTTTTTGAATAGGTGGGTTTTGGTGGTAGGTAAATTTTGAATGGTGAGTCGGAGGAGCAAAGTTGGGGAAAAATATAATACGATTAAAATCATGACTATGTCAAAAAATTACAGTCCCTCATTCATCTTCTCGATACAATCTCTCTTCCGCACCGAATCTTACACTGCACATTTGGTCTGCCTGGCTAATGAGAACTGGAGAACAAACCAAATTAAAAATATAATGCCGCCGCTATCTCGCGAGGATCGTCGCGAGGACCTCTCTCTTCAGGCTCCCAAACATTGACAAACTTACGTAAAGCATTGCCATCCAGTTACATCAGTCCGGCATCTCCACTAAGAATAAATGAGCATCTAGGAAGCTAATTTGCGTGCGATCCAACTTCATTCCACTTATAAGAAACTGTTTTTACTTGGAGATCTTTCCATGTATCGATGAATAAATCGTACAGGGTATGCAAAGACTCAGTGGTCATTCTCCTGCCTCATCTTCTTTTATTAATGTCAAGTATCAGGGGACTTAGTTAAAGAAAAATCAGGGTCGCATCAACTAAGAGGGCAAATTGACTCAAATTAACCCCATTAACATACAAATACATCACAAACCATCATGATTTCAGGAGAGCCTAAGCTACGCAAAATCAATCGAGGTCGAATTTCGCCCAGCTAGACTAGTTGCAGGTTCTTTATTAGCGAAAAAAAAACCAAGAGAAAAGATCAAGGTTAAACATATAAGGTTAAAGATCATAGGCAATACGAATCAACTATGGAGCCCTTTTCAGTTCTTCAAGTATTTTGTGCTTTCTTCAAACTTAGCAAAATGCATTGGACTGTCAGCGTTTTCTCTATAACTTATTATTCAAACTCTATTAATCAAACTCGATGTGCTTTTAGTTCAGTTGTTCAATCATTTTGTCCTCACCGGGGCAATTTGTGGGCTCCGACCTCGAGTTGTGCTGATAAACCGTCAAAATGGAAACATAGGTTCAATCTTTAGGGAGATATAGTTGTACATCTTATGGCTGCTCTATCCCGAGCTTATACTATGAGTCTTTTCATGACCATAGCATAAATTCAACTTGGGCAAATAGGGTACAGACATCGACACGTTAAAATAGATAATGCATTGATGGGGCCTGTCTAATTACATGACAGGCCGCCAAGGCCCAGTAGCGTATTGCGATGAACTTTCACAGTCAAATTTTGTAGACTTTAATTGCCTACTGGCGACATTCTTTTTTGGTTGTACAAAAGAAAGCGTGTGGGGTTAGGAATTGGTTAGAGAAAAGATGTCAGGAAGTGGTTAGAGAAAAGAAAATAAATTATAAGCAAGGTTTTTCTTTTTTCGTTTCCTGTCCTGGAGAAGCCAAATAGCTTTAGAAATTGAGACACCGCACAAAGAACAAAAGATAGAACGTACAGACGTTCTTGAATTAGTTGTGCGAAGGGTTTTGCTTTGGGCTTAAACAAGCAGCAATTTGTGCCGTGACTTTTACATCCAATTAAGTTGTGCACTTTTGGATTTGGTCTTAATTTAGATGTGGAAAACACTCGAGCATATCCGATTATAATGAATTATTTATTATTGGCTTTTCTTATAGAATAAGTACCGATATTCGGACTGAATCACGTAAATTTTCGGCATCCTTATTGTTCCTTGTGTATTTCTTCAGTGCTTTCGCGTTAATTTAATAGCAAGATCTTGTCAATCTTTGCGTTGGTTTCACAACATGTGTACTTCTGAAATGCCTCTAGTCGGATCACTTTCTGCTTAATGCACCATTGCAAAGTAAATTAACAGATCTCCCATGTTTAGAACCAACCAATTTCTGAACGTATTCCAGTGGAGTTTCACTTATAAATGCGGACTTGTAGGGATAATCCACTGTCGCCCTTGCATTACAAGCAATTCGAATAGTGTTAACTAGACACTCTTTAAGTTAAATAACCGCATTTCAACAAACCGAAAGGCGATTTGTTACGCTTTATCTCTTGTGTGAAATGTGCAAAAGCAACAGATTAGTAATTTGCAGTATCTTGAAAATATAAGCATTCTGAGGCTCCGTTTGTTTCGCGGAAAATGAATAATTTTGAAAATATCTTCCTAAAAGTGACTGTTGACTCGCTTTAAGCTGCAAACAAAACTCTCCGATCTCTTGGGTCCCAAGATATCTTATCGGAACCTCATATATTTTGATGTTTCTATCTTTCTGCAATAGTTTGCGAGTTATCAATTGGGTGTTTTCGATTCAAGATGCTTGAAAATTCTTACCTGAACATGAGCTGCCCACTTGTTCTATCCGTGGTACGACTTCTAATCAAGCCTATAGGTCCGTTTAGAAGCCAAAAGACTTGAGACATGTTTAGAACATACCGCCCATTCAATGAGTGCCACAGAAAGTTTATATCTGTCTTCGCCTCTTATATCACATCGTTGATCATATTGTAGAGCATTTGCCACTTCTATAGCAGCTGGAAATTTTTATTTCCTGTCTTCCAGTGGATCCCGTGATAGCTCTAGAATTCAGGATTTTAGCTAATTTCTATCCTCGTTAGTGAATCAACCACAGATCCATTTGCATGTGTTTCCAATTTCTCTGGAAAGATGTCACTAATTGATCCACGAAAAAAGTTCAAGAGGAGGATCGAGCCAAACTGGTGAAATTGTAATACTTTCACTCTATCGTGGTGTTTTTTCTTTCTTGAAACTGAATGTGCTATAACCTCATGATGAGCCCTCATCTTTATATCTCTTTGACACTTCATCTGTTTGCAATTCGTTGACACATTTTTCACTTTTGATGACTACTGTCTCAGGAAACAAAAAGATGGGTCTCAAAGTTGGAATAGGTAATTATTTCAAGACTTTCTCTTCCACTTCTCTACGCTCTCGTCTGCAATTTGTTCTGACCTTTTGACAGTATGCTTCCCTCATTGCCCAATGGAATAATGTTTCCTCTTCCCTAATTGCCCAATGGAATAATGTTTCCAATATAATCTTAGAAGCCTTGACGAAGTGATGAAGTGAGATTGCTTCCCTAAAAAATATTCTTCGTTTTATTAGGAATGGCGGCATTAGGAGCTGGAATTGTGGTCACCCTTATCTTAATGCAAGCTTTGATAAAGCAGAGGAGCGTACACTTCGATGGCGAAGTGAAAATCGAGGGACTCGTCTCTTCGAGAAGATACACCTACAAAGACATCAAGAGGATGACCAACTCTTTCGAAGAAAAGTTAGGCCAGGGAGGCTATGGCTGTGTGTACAAAGGCAAGCTTGGAGACTGTCAACTGGTGGCGGTGGAGATTCTAAAGAAACTAAAAGGCGATGCAGAAGAATTTTTCAATGAAGTTGCGAGCATAAGCAGGACTTCTCATGTCAATGTTGTTAGCCTTCTGGGGTTCTGTTTTGAGGGAAGCAAAAGAGCTTCGGTTTATGAGTTCATGCCCAACGGATCACTCGAGAAGTTCATATTCAACAGGAGTAACACTTTGGAGGTAGACCGGCAATTGAGTTGGGACACATTGTACCAAATTTCCCTTGGCATAGCTCATGGGCTAGAGTACTTGCATAGAGGCTGCAACACGAGGATCTTGCATTTTGACATAAACTGTTGACACCTAAATTTTGCTTATTCATTTAGGGTTTAATTGCATGAAAAATTAGGAATTGATTTTTAACCCCTAAACAAAAATATTTTCATTAAATTGTGTGGCATGTAGACATTAGGCGCATTTGCATTAATAGATTTAGTGAAACATATTTTCGCTTTATTTTACTTCTTTTTTATTTTTATTTATTTAAAATTATTATAAAAAATTTATAAAAAAAAATCTCTTCCCCGTGACTCTCCCTCTGACACTTGTGAAAAAGAAGAAAAGGGGGTAAGGACAGAGAAGAAAGGAGTCTCACAGGAGACAAAAAGAGGACTTTGCCCTCTTCTTTTATGGGGATGAAGGCACGTCCAGCAGAAAAACAGAGGCACGGAGGGAGAGAGTTCCGAGGGAGAGAGTTCCGAGAGAGTGCTCGAGAGAGCTAAACGGGGGAACGCAGAAGCCAGAATGGGGGGCACCGAGCGAGAAACACAGAGCGAGAGAGCCAGAGTGAGAGATCCGAGAGAGACATCCAGAGGGAGAGAACCGGGAGGGCGAGAGAGAGCTCCACAGAGAGAGATCTTCAGGGTGAGAAAGGAAGAGAGAGCCTCACCCGCTCGCCGGAGGGCCGCCCGAGTCGCCGTCGGTGCAGACGAGCTTCCAGTCGCCGCGCTTCATCCCGGTCGGTCACGAACCAGGTGGGTCTCCATAGCTTTCCCCTGTTTTGGCTGCTCCTCTCCCCTGCCTCTCGGGTGCCGGGCACACCGAGTCCGTTCGGTGATTGCTCGGCCCCGTCGACAGAGGCTAACATTCGCTCGACACTCCATGAACCTTTTCTGAGCATTGTATGTTGAAAACAAGCCGTGAGCCTAGTCAAAATCGGACATGTGGATCCATTTGTTTTGCCGCCTGAAGCTATTTAAGTTTTAAATGTCGGATCTGGTCGCCTTTTTTTTTTTTAGCGTTCTATCGCAAGCCGAGACGATTTTTTTGACGAGATACGGTTCCTTAGATCCTCACACTCCATGTTCAAGCCAAACATCGCACCGAATGCCAATCTTAAGCCCCTGCTCGAACTCGCCCACCACCTATTCGACAAAATGTCCGACTGAAACTCCGAGTCCGTTTTTGCAAAACCGACGCCCTAAAGTTTTGTTATATGCTTGAATGGTTCTATTGTAGTTACTGACCCCAAGCTTTCCTTGTTTTTTTTCATGTGTTTGTATGGCATATTCCGTTGTTCCCCGATGTCGGCCATGGACGTGCACACGAGTCGGAGTCAACATTCATTTTCCGGTGAGGCCTTGGGGCGAAGTCCCACCGTGACAGTGTTCTATGCCTGATTTTGTGTATGTATGCTTGTGTGTTCAGGCTTAGCGTCTATTGTTGGGACCGAATGTTGGATTGTTAGAAAGTGCGTTTGTCGCCGGTGGGGAGTTGTGACTGTTTCTCTAAGGGGCTGGTGTGGTCGCCAAAGTTGGCCGGCGGTGATGGCGTAAGGCCAGCGTCCGTCGTCGACGCTGGCGGCCCGAGCCGACGGATGGCGGTGGGCGTTCCCGGCGTAATCCCAGTGACGGCATGAAGACGTTCTCGATGAAGAAGCGAAGAAGAAAGCGTTCTGGGGAGAGACGTCCAGAAGGGCACGCAAAGAGGGGAAGAAGACCAGAAAAGAATAATAGAAAAAGAAAAAGAAACAAAAAAAAAAAGAGAAAAGAAAAGCAAAAGAGGGGAAAATCAAGAGAAAAAAAAATAAATAGAAAAGAAATGAAAATGGGGTCCGGGGCGGGTCGGAATGCCGGGTCAGAGTTCGGGCGGATCGGGTCAGGGGACCCGGTCCGGAATCTTTATTTTATTAATAAAAGTATCAAAAAAATATTAAAACATTAAAAAAATTAAAAATTCCAAAAAAAAATTCGAAAATGTTTAAAAATCCCGAAAAAATTTAATTAAATAAAAAATATATAAATATATATATTTAAAAATTCAAAAATATTAAAAAATTCAGAAAAATCCACAAAATTCCAAAAAAAATCAGAAAATTAGGAGATGTTTAGAAATCAGTTTTGGGCTTAATTTCACTAGATTTTAGGTTAAAAACTCAAAACAAAAAAAATGAAAAAATGATAAAAAAACCCTCTAAAAAATTCTCAAAAATCAGATAAGCCATGAGGGCTTTACTTTAGGGCTTTTGATTGCCTTTTCTTTTTAGAGACGATGCTAGGTCGCTAGTTGCTTGTTTTCTTTGTGATTATTTGGTTGCGCACCTTGAATTTATTAGTTGTTATTTTCTATTTTTAGCATGATTAGACGGAATCTTCGCTTTTTCGATAGGCTGCCTGGTATGTTAATTCACAAGTAATCAAGTTTAGGTACCGAAAGGGCACTAGTAGATCGCTAGTGTAATCAAGTCCCCGTACCCATTGAATCTTTGGTTCGTAGAAGTGAAGCATTTCTCCCGTGTTTCACTTAGGTGATTAATCGACCCATCAAAAACTGATTAGTGACAACTCCTAGGTGAAATTGATTTCCATGTTAATAACTTCAACTTAAGTCGCGAATTGGTATGAGCGTAGGAGAGCTCGAGCTAGGTTTAACTTAGTAATCCATTAGCCAAACCACATAGGCGGCGGGGCCGGTTCGGGGAGGTCGCGACAGCCTCACAACATTCTCCTCGATGCAAACTATTGTCCCAAGATTTTCGACTTTGGTCTTGCCAAAATATGCTCGAGACAAGAGAGCATTGTGTCAATGCTAGGTGCCCGAGGTACCCCTGGTTACATTGCTCCGGAGCTGTTCATGAGGAACATTGGAGGGGTTTCTCACAAATCAGATGTCTATAGCTGCGGTATGATGGTTTTGGAGATGGTTAGCAGGAGGAAAAGCATTGAAGTCACGGTAGGTCGTACCAGCGAAACTTACTTCCCTCATTGGGTCCACCGACAGTTGGAGCTCCGACAAGAGCTTGGGCTGCACGGAATCACAAATGAGGAGGACGAAGCAATTGCAAAGAAGATGATTGTAATTGGTTTATGCTGCATTCAAATCGATCCAAGAGCTCGACCATGTATGACCCAAGTTGTGGAGATGCTAAAAGGAAGTGTTGACACCTTGCAATTTCCTCCCAAACCATTGTTGTCATCACCCTCAAGATCGCTCGCGGCTTGTCCATGTGAAAGTTCGTCTCTGCAAGAGAATAATGACTCGAGTTGGGGTTATTCAATATCAATTATAAGAGACCGACTTAGTTTGTCACAGACTATTTGAAAGGAAAAAAAAAGCAACTGCAAAATTAATGATTATTGAGTTGTTAATAAATTTGTGATCAAATGTCTAGGTTGAATTTCTAAAAGCAAGACGCAAAAAAGAAGAAGTGAAAAGTGCATTATTGACACCTGAATTTTCACATATGGGTCTCTATCCAATTTTATCGAAATCAGGGATCTAAATTATGACATAAATCGATCCCCTAACCCAAAAAGTTGACCCATATCATTTAGTATGCATGTTGCTTGGTACACCTCATCACGATTAGGGACATTGTGAATTTAGAATTTTTACTACGGCATGGGTAATCCAATTCATAGACAATAACTAAAATAACAAAAATAACAAATAAAAATGATAAATTAAAATAAAAAAAAATATAATTAAATAAAAAGGGAAACAAGGCTGGCGGAAATAATAATATAACCACGAAGAACGGGCCTTATTTTAAAGCCCATCTTTTTCCGAACATTTGGCTTAAGGGGGGAAAAGTGCCAAAAAAGTCCTAAACCTTTTGCATTAGTGCCAATTTAGTCCTAAACCTTTTTTTGGTGCCAATTCAGTCCTAAACCTTTTGCATTTGTGCCAATTTAATCCTAAATCTTTTTTTGGTGCCAATTCAGTCCTAAACCTTTTAAATTACCAATTTAAAAGGTTTAGGACTGAATTGGCACCAAAAAAAGATTTAGGACTAAATTGGTACAAATGCAAAAGGTTTAAGACTTTTTTGGCACTTTCCCTGGCTTAAGGGCTTGAACTATTTAAAGAAAAAAGGGATTAGTGTTTTAAAGGACACATTCTCTCACTACTCTCTCTCTCTCGTCCCCCCCCCTCTCTAGCCGCATCTATGTAGGTTAGACAATATTTTCCTTAATTTTCCATATCTTTTATGATAGAGCGTATATCTATGATACTCTTCACATCTCCATTTGATTATGCATATATGATATGTTACCTTATATAACCATCTCGTAAAACCTATAAATAGGTTGTACTCTTCATTAAGATAAAAATTCCAAAATTTTCTATTCCACATATTTCTTATATGTTGCCGTGATTCGAAAGATCTCGGAAGTATTAAATGTAAGATTGATGTACTTGTTTTGTTTCAATCTTTATATCCACAATTTATCATCATTATAGCTTAAACTCCGGAGTTCAAAGTCGAATACGAGAGAAAAATGTCTCGATCTTGCGGAGTAACGAGTTCCTTTTTGATAAAGAGATGTATGTCTTTTCACGTTAAGGAGCAATGTTATCTTTGGTAGAATCGGTCTTTTTTTTTATGTTGGTTAAAAAAAAGTTACTTTTCGGTTTGTTTTAAGGTTGATGCTTGTCAGTATTTTAAATCCTAACATATCCCATTGCAAACCCGTGAGTTCCTCATCGTCTTTCTTGAATTATTCATGTTTCCTCATGTCATTTCAGCTCATTTAGTAATTATTTAAGGATAGTATACGACGATTCCATTTTGTCTTTCGTGGCATATGTGTTCGTTCTTGTGTTTAAATCCATCTCATTTGCTCGTATTTAAATTCTATCGAGCATCTTTTTGTTCTTACTTAGCATGGTTTTAGATCGCATTTACATCACATTTGCGTATACGTTGATGTATGCATGCATAGTAGTTGGTTTACTTCGATTTCTAGACATTCCGGCGCGATTTTTTACTTGTATATGAGGTGTTACATGGTCACATGTCGCTGTCCACGAGGTAAGCTCCCAATCGACGCTTGCAGGTCCCCAATCTTTTCATGTAATTTTCGGACTCAAAGCAAACCTTAATGCTTGTTGTCCATCTTCGGGGAGTATCGTGTTGATCTTTCATGGCCCGAATGGTCCGTAGGCGCCCCGAGAACATTGGTGATTGTGTGAGAAATGGGCCTAATTCCAAAAAAAAAAAGCATCAACTCTACTTTGAGTGACAATTCTAACCCAAACTTTTTTTGTTTAATAAAAAATTACCAACTTTTACTTAAATCCCAAATCTCGCCCGAACAATTTAAAAATTTTACATCACGCGGGCCAGATTTGAGACTCGAGTAAAAGCTGGTGCTTTTTATTGAGACAAAAAAATTTTCCGATTAAAATTGTCACTCAAGGTAAAATTTGTGTTTTTTTTTTTGAATTAGCCCGTGAGAAATGGAGTCTTAATGCTTGTTGTAGGGACTGTATACCGGGACGCCCCTTACGTGTCCAGTCATTTTTTCTTCACTTCTCCGTATGTTGGTAGCCAATTTAGTTCAATTTCCAGCATTATCTTCACTTTTAGGGGCATTACATTTTGTCTTGATTTATATTTAAGTCATTGTTGCTACGATGGAAAAATTAACAGTAATAAAAAAAATAGAGTTGCATTTAATTAAGGCTACATTAGTTTGGCGGAAAATATAACATTTCTAGCAAATGTGTTCGAGGAAGTCATTTTCTTGGAAAATGACAATATTTTTCGATATTTGGTTGAAACCTAAAAATAAATTGAAAAATATTTTGTTATTTGATATGGAAAATCTGTTTTGATTTTCCTAATAGGCATATACTATTTGGGCGTTAATTACTTGTGCATAGCCATTGGGAGAACTAAGGAGAACTGGGTACGGACACTAGAGTCTCAGGTTTGGCCGAAATAGACCCTGATCTGGGTGCCGAGGATCGAGGCATAGGCACGTGGGTCCCGAGCGCGGCCTCAATGGACCTAAGCGTGGGCACTAGGGCCTCGAGCTTAACCTTGATGGACCAGGCATGGCCTTTGTGGACCTTGGCCCAAGTATTGGCGATCCAAGCTCGGGTAATGGGATCCCATGCTTGGCCTTTATGGGCGCAAGCCCAGGTGCCAAGGCATCAGGCCCGCCCTTGATGGACCCCGGGCTCAGCCTTAATGGACCTGGGCATGGGCACCAGGGATTCGGACCTGGGCACAAGATCCCAGGCAAGGCCTTGATGGACCTGGGCCTGACCCTCGAAAAACTGGTCTTGGATGCTAGAAAACAGCGTTGAGGTTTCCATGCCCAAATGTAGAGTTTCAGATCCAAGCGTCCATATCTAGTCATATTTTGGAAAATGATTTTTGATTTTATAAAAAGGAAATCATTTTCCTAAATCTAAGCATAGGTGTTTCATTAACTAGGAAAACATTTTCCGTTGACTTTTTTTCCTAAGCGAACCAAACGACGGAAAATGAGGAGAATATGTTTCACGAAACAGACAGAGCATAAGGGCGCGCATGGAATCCATTTTGGAGTAGAAATTCTACTCCAGAATTATGGAAGAAAAACGTGTTTGGTAAAAATACATTCTTATTTTGGTTCCGGAATGAGTTTTTGCTTCCATAATGTGTTTTGGGGAAAAAAAGAAGAAGCTAGTTTTTGTAGCTTCTGGCTTCACGAATGCATTCTGGCCAAATTTCCTTCTTTACTCTCTTCGAGAGACGTTCGACTCTCTTCAGTTTCGTGCCCTCCTTCCTCCTCGCGACTGCACCGGAACAGCCACCACACACGGCGGCGATCGATTTTGGCCCTCACTCTCTCTCTGCCGCTTCCGTTTCTTCATGCGTAGCTCGTGAGTCTTCAATTCCTCCAACTGTTTCATCTCCTCTCTCGTCGTTGGCTTTTCCCTTCGGTGCCATCCACGGTGCGCGACGCTGCCGCCCATTTGGGACACGCGGCCAGCGCGAATCTCGCTCGATCGAGTCGGAATCGAGGGAACGAAACGCCGCGGAGCGGTCTGGCGAGAACTTGATTAGCATGCTGCGGATTGAGGTTGAGGTTGAAGTTGAGCCGTGGGGTTTCTGTTTCGAAAGGGCTATGATGTGTGGGTTGTGTGGCTGAATCGGTTTGTTTCGTCATTCGTGTCTAGCTCTGCGGTTCGCGGCCCCTCCGAGGCCGAGGCCCTCGTCGAGGCGTGCCTCAACGCGCCCACCCCGCTCCGCTACTTGACCGAGAAGCAGCGGGCCCCGCGAGGCCGAGCGCAAGAAGATGGGGCCGATCGGCAAGGGACCGGGCGAGAGATCGACATCTTTCAAGAAAGGGAAGTCGAAACTGGGCGTCTCTGAGAAGCCAGAGATAATCGGGACACCGGGCTTGGATTTGATCTCGTTGGGACTGGTCGATGCGGATAAGATTCCAAAGTATGGGCTCACGGTCGAGGATGAAAGGCGGCTCGCGAAGGAGTATTCTAGGGTTTTGATGAGGAGGCATATGGCGAGGCAGGCTGTGGAGAGTAATTTGTTGCGGATGAAGAAGGAGGCGATTGAGGCGCCGCCGGAGAAGGCTGCGAGAGGCGGTGCCGGTGCAGATTTGACACCTTTCCCGCAAACCGCTTCATGGCGACACTCACGCCGCCAATTGAAGGGTACATTGAGAAGGTCAAGGACACTGCGAGGAAGAGCTCAGCCAAGGAGAAGCTTAGATGATTTTGGATGAAGGCCGTGATTATAGGTTAGAACTTTTTGTTGTTTTAGGTGAATTGGTTTCTGTATGAAGTTATGAACTATGTTTAGATGATGTGTTCCATGTGCTGTTTTGAGGTCAGAAAGGAAGATATTTGTCATAGGTTTTAGCTGATTCTTTGTTGAATGTTCATGTAATGCTTGAAGAATGAGCCATAGATGTGTTTCAGGGATGTTGAAATCTTATTGGTTGATTCGACTCTTTAATTTAGGTGTAGAGATTGGCAGAATGCAAATCATTCTGTACAGTTTAGAGTTTGAGCTGTGGTCATTAGCTTCTCTGGGTATGCGATTGTTCGTCCAATCTTGATACAATGTGCTTTGACATCCAGTTATATGCTCAAGAGCAGCCGGAAGAACAAAAATCTCCGTCCTTTTTTCTTCTTATTTAAGCAAAGGATGGTTTTAGTCTTCTGTGATCCCATTGCCTAGCAAAACGTCTTTTTTGATCTCATTGTCGCTAGTCGTGGTTTATGGCCACTACAAAAAAACTGATTTTTTCCGACGAAATTTCCAACGAAAAATTCTGGAAAATTCGTTGGAAAACGAATTT